CCCCCCCAGCCGAGCTCTGACCGCCCCCACACCGCAGCTCAGGCACGCGGGGTTCTACACTGGAAAGACAAAACTCTTGCTTCCCACGTGCCGAACTCTTGAATCTGGAAAACTCCAGAAGCCGGCAGCCGAGGCTGGTGGGACCACCGTGGCCACCGGCCGCAGGGGCAGAGGGCAGGACAACCCCTGGCCCAGCTGTGGTGACCACACCAGCCGAGCTCCGACCACCCCCACACCGCAGCTCAGGCACGCAGGGTTCTACACTGGAAAGACAAAACTCCTGCTTCCCACACGCCAAACTCTTGAATCTGGAAAACTCCGGAAGCCAGGAGCGTTGCCCCCTCTCCAAGCCACCCTCCAGCGCCAGGGAAGCACCAGCCTCGGCCGCACGGCAGGGAGAGCTGAGCCGTGTGCCGGCGGCGGGATTAGCGACATTCCTCCCCGGGCTTTGCTAATCTGCTGCCCTCCCACTCCCTGGCTCCAAACCCACCGGGGATTTCGTTCCCGATTTAAAGGCGGCATCCACCGGGCAACGCCGTGCAGGACATCCCACCGCTCACCTTCAGCTTCTTCTCCTTCTCGTGCACGACGGCGCGGACGATGTTGAGCGAGGTGTAGGTGAAGCTGAGCATGAGCAGCAGCGGCAGCTGGTTCTGGATGGCGAGGAGGAAGAGGTCGTTGACGTACGCCGGGTAGGGGAAGCGCTGGACCACCACGGTGACGTTCTCCAGCAGGCTGGCAGAGCTGGCGTTGGCGTGGTACTGCATGATGGCTCTGTCCACCGCGTGCTGCACCGCCAGGAAACCTTCTCGGATATAGCCTGGGCGGGAAAAACGACACGGGGGAATAGAGACGGGTGCGGGTTTCGGAGGGAGGCGGCAGCAGGAGGAGGGAAACAGCCTTTGTGGGAGGGAGCGCTCGGGAGGAAGAACGGAAGGGGGAAAAAAAAAAAGAGATTGTAGGAAAAGCACAAGTAACATCAGTATCGACACGTGCCCTGACATCCCTGCGGACGTGGAGGGGCTCGGGGCGGATTTGGATCACAGCAAGTGAAATTTCTCATAATTATCACTTAAAACCAGCCGGCGGGAACGCTCCGTGCCAACGGCAGTCGCCCTTCTGCCAGCGGCTTTGGATTGGTACGGGGGGAGATTCTCCGTTGGCATTAACCACCCCCCACGTCGCTGAGCTTGTCTTTGGTCCCGTTTCTTTTTGGTAAAACAAGAGAATACGGGACACTACGCAGGTTTTGGTGAGGAAGAATATATCCTGTTACACATTTGGCTTAAATTTTTGCACGTTAGAAAACAGTGAGAAATTCCTTTTTTTTTTTTTGCCCCCAACCAGTCTATTTTCACATGGCACTTCTGCCACACGTTACTCAAATGGAAACTCAAACTCTGCTCAGGAAGCCCCAAACGAGCAATTTGAAAGTTTGCTGCTTAAAACGACCGAGGCAGAGACGGCGAAAGTCACGATACGAGATCACGAACAATGTTTTATATGAATTAATTTCCTAAACAAACGTTACAGCGAGGGAAGTGGCCCGGGCTCCCGGTCACCCTGACCTGCAGAACGTTTGGACCAGCAGACCCCGTCCGCTTGGGTGTATTTCCACCGCGTCAGCAAAACCCTTCCATCCCTTTCTTGGCCTCTCCATCCTTCCCTCGACATCCCTACTGAACGACGGCAGGAGAAACCCAACCGAGGAAAACATCCTCTTTGCAGCCGCAGAGGAAGCTCCCAAAAAACCCAAGTCCTAAACCAGTGCCAGCTCTGGCAACATCCCCGCTGCCTCCGGCTCGCTCGGCGGTTTGGCTTTCCCTAAAAACCTA